GTGACTGAACCTGGCTGGAGAACCTGGAGAACCTGGCTGGAGAACCTTAGCGAGAGAACATGGCACCAGAACTTGGTTGGAGATCCTGACCAGAACTTCGCTGGAGATTCTGGAGGGAGAACCTCGCTATGCTGATGAACTGAACCCAGTTTCCATGTCATTCATTCTTCGCCGACTCCGTCCACACCTTTGGGGATCCCTGGACCCGTTGGGGTTGGACCCCAACACTTCCCGCTGCAGTTTGACAATCTGTGTGAGGCAGCTCTGCCTCTGTATCTATTATTGTTCAAAAGTTTATAATGGTCTCTATTATCCATGAATGAGTGAGATCATGTGGTATTTTTCCTTCATTGACTGGCTTGTTTCACTTAGCATAATGCTCTCCAGCTCCATCCATGCCGTTGCAAATGGTAAGAGTACCTTCTTTCTTATAGCAGCATAGTATTCCATTGTGTAGATGTACCACAGTTTTCTAATCCATTCATCTATTGATGGGCATCTAGGCTGTTTCCAGATCTTAGCTATGGTCAATTGTGCTGCTATGAACATATAGGTGCATATATCCTTTCTGATTGGTGTTTCTGGTTTCTTGGGATAAATTCCTAGAAGTGGGATCACAGGGTCAAATGGGAGTTCCATTTCCAGTTTTTTGAGGAAACTCCATACTGTCTTCCATAGTGGCTGCACAGTCTACATTCCCACCAGCAGTGCACAAGTGTTCCTTTTTCTCCACATCCTCTCCAGCACTTGTTGTTTGTTGATTTGTTGATGATAGCCATTCTGACAGGTGTGAGATGGTACCTCATTGTTGTTTTGATTTGCATTTCTCGGATGATTAGTGACTTTGAGCATGTTTTCATATGTCTCTTGGCTTTCTGAATGTCCTCTTTTGAAAGGTGTCTATTTAGATCCTTTGCCCATTTTTTGATTGGATTGTTTATCTTCTTTTTCTTAAGTTGTAAGAGTTCCCTATAAATTTTGGAGATTAGGCCCTTATCAGATATGACGTTGGCAAATATGTTTTCCCATGCAGTGGGTTTTCTTGTTGTTTTGTTGATGGTTTCTTTTGTTGTGCAGAAGCTTTTTATTTTGATGTAGTCCCATTTGTTCATTTTCTCTATAGTTTCAACTGCCCTAGGAGCTGTATCAGTGAAGAAATTGCTTCGGCATATGTCTGAGATTTTGTTGCCCTTGGATTCTTCTAGAATTTTTATGGTTTCCTGTCTTACATTTAAGTCCTTTATCCATTTTGAGTTTATTTTTGTGTATGGTGTAAGTTGGTGGTCTAGTTTCATTTTCTTGCATATATCTGTCCAATTTTCCCAACACCATTTATTGAAGAGACTATCTTGGCTCCATTGTATGTTCTTGCCTCCTTTGTCAAATATTAATTGAGCATATTGGTTCGGGCCGATTTCTGGGGTCTCTATTCTATTCCATTGATCTATATATTATTGTTGAGTTCTTAGTATATGTTGGATACAAGTCTTTATCGGATATATGTTTTACAAGTATATTCTCCCAATCTGTGGCTTGTATTTTCATTCTCTTAATAGTGTCCTTCACAGGGCAGAAGATTTTAATTTTAGTGAAGTTCCACTTATCAATTTTTTTTCATGGATCATACATTTGGTGTGATAGCTAAAAACTCATAGATATACACAAGTTCACTCAGATTTTCTCCTGTTATCTTGAAGTTTTATAGACTTGTGTTTTGAGACTATGACCCTTTTGGGTCTATGGTCCATTTTAATTAATTTTTGTGAAAGATGTAAGATCCTTGTCTAGAATTATATATTTTTCCATATTGATGTCCAGTTGGTTCAGCACCACTTTTTGAGAAGACTATCCTTTCTCCATTGAACTGACTTTGCTCCTTTGTCAAACATTGCATATATTTGTATGGTTCTATTTCTGAGATCTGAAGTTCACTGATCATTGTGTTTAATTTTTTGCCATTATCACACTATCTTGATTATTGTAGCTTTAAAGTAAGTCTTGAAGTTGGGGATGTTAATACATTTTTAAAAATTTAATGGAGGATTGATAATTTTAAGTTTTAAAAGTAGATTAGTTATTAATAGTCTTTATAGTACAGTATCTGGATACATTTTTGAAAGTAATAATTTCTTTGGATTATAATCAAATATTAATATTTTTCATTTTGCTTTACTGCATAAGTAGCTCCAACCTCCATTTTAGTGGCTACCGTTTCTATGATCAAATTTTATCTTCATTTATTTTTTTTCTTGTAAAAGTTATGAGTCATTTTCCAAACTCTGAATATTTTAAACTATTATTCAGTCATCCACTTTTAAACAGTCATATCTCTGATGCTTTTCTTAGTATAATGCATACAAAAGGGATATCTCAAATAAGAGTACCCATTTGCCTTGGTATATTACAGATAAGAGTTGGAAAATGGAATCTTTCTTGTTGCTAGGGCAGTTAACAGAATATAATCCATAATGAGTAGCTGTTTGTTATCTATATTATAGATAAATTCAGGAATTACACACATTTAGATACTTCTAGGTGGATTTAGTTTTGCTTGCAAATAATATTTAAATGGACATACTTATATTTGTCCGGGACATTCATGAACTCCAAAGTGTTTCTTATTATCTAACAATTTTTTAAGGGGACAATTTGGTTAAAATTAGAGTAATTAGGCATATAGCAGTCTCCTTAAGTCTGGCATATCCTCACCTCCCTTTTTGAAACACCAGTAGTTTGGGAGTTATTACATCAAATCCATCCAAGTTCTGATGGTTTTAAGTGGCAAATATATATGAAGCATTTTAATTTTTTTGAAATATATAATAGTATCTGCTCTACATAAGCAGGCAGGTTAGAATTTACCCAATATTACAATTTCCTTTAATTTTGGAATATATTTGCATTATTTATAACTTCAGAGTTTGTTTAAAAACTAAAGCATGCATTGTGATGGTTATGCTGAGTTGTGGGAAATTAGACTCAATCATGTTGTTTTTTTTTAAACAGTTATCTTCTTTCTCCCTTCCTTCCTTCCTTCCTTCCTTCCTTCCTTCCTTCCTTCCTTCCTTCCTTCCTTCCTTCCTTTCGAGAGAAGGGGAGAGAAAGAGAAACATCAATTTGTTGTTCTACTTATTTATGCATTCACTAGTTGATTCTTGTATGTGTCCTGATCAGAGATCGAACCCACAACCTTGGCATATTGGGACAATGCTCACCAACTTGAGTTTACCCGGCCAGGGCTCAAGCATGTTTTGAGTCATTCCACTTTCAAACAAGGGCTCACGGATTCATAAGGTCTCCTTTAAAATAAACATTTATGAATCCCAAAAGATAGACTTTTTTATTAAAATGTATGAAATTTATATTATATAAGGAAGAACCCTTTTGGGTTGTTTTGGACAGAGAATTTTGATACAAAGAAAGAATGAACTAACAAGACAGGGCTTTATGGATCTGAATCTAATGGAAGCTAATGATCGTGAAGGAGATCCTCGTGACCTTTGGGTAACTCTACTCTCAATGGGCTACAATAAAGCTCTGGAATTAACAGAGGTAAAGCAATCTGAAAATTTTATTGTGGTTTTAATGTACATAATATTTTACCCCATGAACATTTTCCCGATACATGACTTTTAAATTGGGCACTGAAATTCTTGAACTTTAGCATATGAATGAATCCTGGGTGCAACAGCACATTTTGCTAGTTTATGAAAATTCCTATTTTGAGCTGAAATTTAGTTACTACAAACATTCAGGAACAAAGGAGTTTGAACATATGATTGTAATAGAAAAATTATATTTCTTAATTGGTAATGGCTATTTGAGTTGCTAAAGTCTCATTTCTATAGGGAAACTCTTTGTCCCAACAGAATAAAGGCTCAGAATAAGGGGAATGTGTCTGTATGAAAACTGAAATTCTGATTTTTTGACAAAGGATGCTTCTTGTGGCAGTGCTTCACTTATTTAAAGCACTGTGTATGTGATAGCTATCATTATTATTTATTAACATGATAGGTACAGAAGTTGAATAAGACTTGTAATAATCCAAAGGAATAATAAAAATTAGGTCCTACTTCTTTTTTTATTAATATATTTTTTTATTGATTTCAGAGAGAAAGAGAGAGGGAGAAAGAGATAGAAACATCAATGATGAGAGAGAATCGCTGATCGACTGCCTCCTGCACACCCCCTACTGGGGATTGAGCCTGCAATCGGGGCATGTGCCGTTGGCCGGAATCAAACCTGAGACCCTTCAGTTTGCAGGTGGATGCTCTATCCACTGAGCCAAACCAGCTAGGGCTAAGTCTTACTTCTTAAGTTCTATATTTTTGTGTTAGGTTTAAAATAAAAAATTTAAGAGTTTCAGGCCACAAATTAGATAACTAGTTTTGTTTATATTCTTTTTTTTAAAATATATTTTATTGATTTTTTACAGAGAGGAAGGGAGAGAGATAGAGAGTTAGAAACATCGATGAGAGAGAAACATCGATCAGCTGCCTCCTGCACATCTCCCACTGGGGATGTGCCCGCAACCCAGGTACATGCCCTTGACCGGAATCGAACCTGGGACCTTTCAGTCCACAGGCCGACGCTCTATCCACTGAGCCAAACCGGTTTCGGCTGTTTATATTCTTAAAATTAAAAATAGTTTATGTTCTTTCTATATATAAATCATCTTAGGGCAACATTAGAACCAACAAATTTTGAATTTTGAGTGTATTGAGACTTTGGTTTAATTCTTAGTTTTGATATTATTCAAAATCCCTCATAAACCTGTTTTCTGAAAAGTTTTCTATAATTTTTTGTTGTTATTAATAACTAGAGGCCTGATGCATGAAATTTATGCAAGAGTAGGCCTTCTTTCCCCTGGCTGCCAGCTCTGGCACCCAGGACCTGGGCTTCCTTCTGGCCGCCAGCAGGTAACTGGGACCCTGGCTTCCCTTGCAACTCCAGCTTTGTCCAGGAGGATGTCTGGTCTAATTAGCATATTGTGCTTTTATTATTATAGACTAGAGGCCCATTGCACGAAGAGATTTGTGCAATAGGCCTTCCTTCCCCTGGCTGCTGGCACCGGTTTTCCTCCAGCACCCGGGATCCAGGCCTTTGGTCCAGCCTCAGCGAGGCTTGGCTTCTTCGCTGTGGCCGCAGCGAGGCTTGGCTTCTCCCCTCTGGCTGCAGCGAGGCTTAGCTTCTCCGCTGCAGTTGCCTCTTCAGTCTTCAGTCTTCTCTCCGTGCCTGTGTATGCAAATTAACCGCCATCTTTGTTGGGTTATTTGCATAGTCACTCTGATTGGCTGGTGGGTGTAGCAGAATGACACCAATTTGCATGTTTCTCTTTTATTAGTGTAGATAGGAGGTAAATAGTTACAGTCACTTTTATATCCTACTTTATTTTTATTTTTTGGGGGGTAGTATGGACATTTTAATGATGTTGATTCTACCAATCCATGAACACGGTATGTTCTTCCATCTCTTTATGTCTTCCTCTATCTCTTTTTTCAACGTCCTGTAGTTTTCTGACTAGAGGTCTTTTACCTCCTTAGTTAAGTTTATTCCTAGGTAGCTTAATTTTTTTGGTGCGATGGTAAATGGGATTGTTTTTTTAGTCTCTCTTTCTGTAAGTTCACTATTGGTGTATAGGAATGCCTCAGATTTCTTGGCATTAATTCTGTATCCTGCTACATTGCCGAATTCATTTATTAAGTCTAATAGTTTTTTGATGGAGTCTTTAGGGTTTTTTATGTATAATATCATGTCATCTGCAAATAAGGACAGTTTTACTTCTTCTTTTCCAAATTGGATGCCTTTTATTTCTTCTTCTTGTCTAATTGCAATGGCTAATACTTCCAGTACTATGTCGAACAGGAGTGGTGAGAGTGGGCATCCCTGTCTTGTTCCTGTTCTTAGGGGAAATGGTGTTAGTTTTTGTCCATTGAGTATGATGTTGGCTGTGGGTTTGTCATATATGGCTTTTATTATGTTGAGGTATGATCCTTCTATTCCCACCTTGCTGAGAGTTTTTATCAAAAATGGGTGTTGAATTTTGTCAAACGCTTTTTCTGCATCAATTGATATGACTATGTGGTTTTTTTCTTTCAATTTGTTTATGTGGTGTATCATGTTTATTGATTTGCGGATATTGTACCATCCTTGCATCCCTGGGATAAATCCTACTTGGTCATGGTGTATGATCTTTCTGATGTACTGCTGGATCCGATTTGCTAAGATTTTGTTGAGGATTTTGGCATCTATGTTCATGAAGGATATTGGCCTGTAATTCTCTTGTGTTGTCTTTACCTGGTTTGGGTATTAGGGTGATGCTGGCTTCATAGAATGAGCTTGGAAGTGTTCCTTCCTCTTGGATTTTTTGTAGTAGTCTGAGGAGGATAGGTTTTAGTTCTTCCTTGAATGTTTGGTAAAACTCCCCTGTGAAGCCGTCTGGTCCTGGGCTTTTGTTTGCTGGAAGCTTTTTGATGACTGCTTCAATTTCTTCCATAGTTATTGGCCTGTTGAGATTTTTAGATTCTTCCTGATTGAGTTTTGGAATGTTGTATTTTTCTAGGAATATGTCCATTTCCTCCAGGTTGTCTAATTTGTTGGAGTAGAGTTGTCCACAGTATTGTTTAACAATCATTTGTATTTCTGTGGGGTCTGTTGTTATTTCGCCTCTATCATTTCTGATTTTGTTTATTTGGGTCCTCTCTCTTTGCTTCTTGGTGAGCCTGGCTAAATGTTCATCAATCTTGTTTATCCTTTCAAAGAACCAGCTCTTGGTTTCATTGATTTTATGTATTGTTTTTTTGGTCTCTATGTCACTTATTTCTGCTCTAATCTTTATTATCTCCTTCCTTCTGCTCACTCTGGGCTTTTCTTGTTGCTCTCTTTCTAATTCTTTGAGTTGTAGAGTTAGATGGTTTACTATCATTTTTTCTTGTTTTTTGAGATAGGCCTGTAGAGCTATAAACTTGCCTCTCAGGACTGCTTTCATTGTGTCCCATAGGTTTTGGATTATTGTGTTTTCATTGTCATTAGTTTCCAGGATGTTTTTAATTTCTTCTTTGATCTCATTGGTAACCCAATCAATATTTAATAACATGCTATTCAGCTTCCAAGTGTTTGAGTATTTTGGGTTGTTTTTATTGTAGTTTATTTCTAATATTATGCCCTCGTGGTCTGAGAAGATGCTTGGTATGATTTCAATCTTCTTGAATTTGGGGAGACTTTGTTTGTGACCCAATATGTGGTCTATTTTTGAATATGTCCCATGAGCCCTTGAGAAGAATGTATATTCCATGGCTTTGGGTTGAAGTGTTCTGAAGATGTCAATTAAGTCAGTCTGATCTAGTGAGTCATTTAGGATTGCTGTTTCTTTGCTGATTGTTTGTCTGGAGGATTTATCCAGTAATGTCAGTGGTGTATTAAAGTCCCCTACTATGATTGTATTGTTGTCGATCTCTCCTTTGATATCTTCCAGGAGTTTTTTTATGTATTTGGGTGCTCCTGCATTGGGTGCATATATGTTTACCAGGGTTATATCTTCTTGTTGTATTGATCCCTTTAGTATTATGAAGTGGCCTTCCTTATCTCTTGTATTGCCTTCACTTTGAGGTCTATTTTGTCCGATATAAGTATTGCTACCCCAGCTTTTTTTTCATTTCCATTTGCCTGAAAGATATTTTTCCATCCCTTCACTTTCAGTCTGTGTGAGTCCCTTCTTCTGAGGTGGGTCTCTTGTAGACAGCAAATGTATGGGTCATGATTTTTTATCCATTCAGCCACTCGATGTCTTTTGGTTGGAGCATTTAGTCCTTTTACGTTTAAAGTTATTATTGAAAGGTACTTGTTTGTAGCCATTTCTTTTTTTGTGTGGCTGTTTTCTTTCTGAGCTTTTTATTTCTTCTTTTTACACCAGTCCCTATAGCATTTCATACATTGCTGGCTTGATGGTGATAAACTCCCTTAGCCTTTTTTTGTCTGTGAAGCTTCTTATTTCCCCTTCAATTTTGAATGATAGCCTTGCTGGATAGAGTATTCTTGGATTCAGTCCTTTGCTTTGCATCACTTTGTAAATTTCTGTCCATTCTTTTCTGGCCTGATGTGTTTCTGTTGAGAAATCATTTGATAATCTAATGGGAGATCCCTTGTATGTAACTTTCCGTCTCTCTCTTGCAGCCTGTAAGATTCTCTCTTTGTCCTGAATATTTGCCATAGTAATTATGATGTGTCTTGGTGTGGGTCTTTTCGAGTTCACCTTGTTTGGGACTCTCTGTGCTTGTGTGATTTTTTTCTTCCCCACCTCTGGGACGTTTTCTGATATTATTTCTTCAAATAGGTTTTCTAACCCTTGTTCCTCTTTCTGTTGTTCTGGCACCCCTATTATTCATATGTTGTTTCGTTTTATGTTGTCCCATAGCTCCCTTAGGCTCTCCTCCTGTCTTTTAATTTTTTTCTCCAATTGCTGTTCAGTTTGTGTGTGTTTTGTTTCCCTGTCTTCTAATTCGCTATTTTGGTCCTCCGCTTCTCCTAGTCTACTGTTGAAACTTTCAATGGTG